TTTTACTTTCAGCAATAGTTCAATATATTAACCTCCTTGAAATCTGAATCATTTCATGAAGACTGTTCAAATATATTTAGATTTTTCTCACATTCCCCGACAGATGTTATATTCTGTCTACATCTCTAAATGCCTGGGGTTCAGGGAATCTAATTTGCAAAGCCTAGCACCTGTAACACCTATCTGTAGATCTGGAAAGTCAATCCAGTCMAAGTTGGATTTAAGTGCTTAACTTCAGAATCTCAGGTTTGAAAAGGTTTGCTTTAATCTATGCCATGCATTAACGCTGGTTGCTGTATTTAAGTTTTACTGGTTTTATTTAATTAAGAAGGAAAACAGGAAAAAAGAAAACATCTGGAGGTATTTAAGACTGCTCTGAACTCTGCAAGCCAAACTGCTCTTAAGCTGTTGGCTTTTTTTTTTTTCCTTTTTCAGATACTTCTCTCTCCTATCTTTTGCTTTTTGTGCTTACTARATGTCAAAATAAAATACAAGGAAATTAAATGCAAGAATTTTGTTGATGCAGTCATGCTGATGCAGCACCAAGATTAAGAAGATGAACATTTGAAACTTGTAAAGGCAAACATTTTAAGATGAAATATCCCTCAGCAATATTTTTAGTATTTATAATTTCTGTRCCCCTCTTCAAACATATGCCTCTTTTAAATCTTCTATAAAATCTACAAAGCAGCCACTSATTATAGTGGAAAAAGGAAAGCTGTTATGGAGCTCCTTCATCAGCAAGGCTCAAGGTTTCCACTGCAATTAAATAAATTCAAATTTATTTAATAAGCATTGAAATAATACTGAACATTCTAGCAAAATTAGTTTAACAACACTAAATAAACCTCACATCTAGTACAGTTTCTGCAAGTCTCTGCCAAAATAACTATTCTGTAGTTTCCAGCAGGGAAAGGTTCATTGAGAGATGTTTTCCCCCTTCCACTACAGAATTACTTAAATCTAAAGCAAAGATAACCAAGCTACATTTGGTACTTCATAGATGACAAATATTCCCAGGACAACAYTTCTACTGAATTCCCATACATTTCTTTTCAATTTACCAAACTGGTTCATACCTTCCACTGGGGCAAACGTAGCAGACGTGGCACATTAGTTAAGCACCCAAGAATCCAGGCAAGTTCTGCATGCTCAGGAACCTGAAAGTATGAAGTTAGAATTTATTTAAACCTCCTTCTTTTATATGCATATTTTCTCAAAGTCAATAAGCATAAATAGTATCAAAAACCAGAAACTCATTTATTTCTGTATATTACTTTTTCAGTAAGGTCAAGTGACAAGCTAATGGAAAGTTTTGGACACTGCCAGGATTGAATGCCCTACACTCAAGCAGGACAGCAAAATTCTAATAATTCTAATAAAAYTCTTATTATTCTAAATAAGAAAGAAAATGCTTCAGCAATAACAGATTCATACAAAATGTAAAACCTATAGGTGTGGCTAAATTTGCCCCTCAGTTCTGTAATCCTATTAAAACCAATACCAGTGAAATAGGATCAGATCTCTACAAATCCTRTGCTACAAGGGTGGTTTAAAGAGATTTAAAAAATCCCACTTGTGCTCATACAACAAACATTTTATTTAATATTCTGGGGCAACTGTGGTGATAGGGAAATTTTAATAGTTTCAGAAAGATGTCAGACAGAGTGATTGTTGCTTGAGGAAGACTTTCTAGAGGCAGAGACAAGAAATGTGTCAACAACCAATGTTTACCATCTTTACATACACACTTCAGCTTTTGCATTTCAAATATTCATTTTAGGATTAGTAAAAGTTGTAAGCATTGCTGATGCATATGCTCTACTTTAATTTYTTTCTTGTCATTCTGTCTATTGTTAGTTAGCTATATAAATGATAACCATCAAAAGAAAAAGGTGATCTATGTTAGGTTGGAATGTTTAACAGCATGCTAACTGTCTCAAAGATGCTCAAAGTTTCATGTCTGCAACATGACATAACAATCCAGACAATAAAGGAAGGCAGTAAAAATGTTTGCTAACAAGAATTACTAGCATTATTAATTGCAATTTCTTTTCTTTCATTTTAAATACAGTAATTTCTTAGCTAGCAGTCATYGGACTACTTTGGTCACCAATGTGTAGAAGTATCCAGCTTCCAGACTACAGGTCAGTGGTTAGAAATATGAAATATGTTGATTATTTCCCTTCTTTCTGCCTTTCCCATAGATACAGGTTTTTTTTTCAATTCCCTCATGCTTATTTGACCTGCAATCTTCCGTGCATAAGACAAAGTGCAACAAAATACCCGGAGTAAAACGAACTTCACGGAAAATGCTAAGCTCAAGACTCCTATTTCATTTAGAAGGAATCACCATCTGGTTCAAAGTGGTTTCTCATTTCTTTCTTCCAGTCACGGAGAGAGGGGAGATGGTGGTCTGTTGGACTTGTGTTGACAAGAACCCTCTTTAAAAGCCATGCAGTCATTGATTCAGCTCGATCAGATGTTGCTTTTGCAGCCAAGACTGCACGTGTGTTTCASTGGATTTGACATGACATCACTTACCAAAACCAAGTAATCTAAACAGCATTTGTTGGGTTGAACACATAGTTCTAGGTCCTACCAAGTTATATTTATTTCTAATCTCCAAACACACAGTCCTTTTCTAAGTAAGATAAAAGTGCTGAATATGCTGAAAAAAAAAGACTGATAAAATGGGGAGAAAATATGTAAAAGTATACMAAAGGGTGGTGATTTCAGTTGGAATAAAATTCAGTACTGGAAGTTAATGAGTTAACATTCATCATCCAAACTGCACTAACTGACTGTTTACTGGTGTTCAAATCAGGAGGTTCTAGGCTTAATCCACAATCATTTGTCAGACTTAATCAGGGTTTAAGCTACCGTGTTTTATTTGGCAAGAGGGGCAGGTAATTGCTGCCTTTGGTAGGTCATGGCACATCAGGTCAAATGTTACTCATTTAGCTACAGAATTCCATCACTTTGATTGGAAAAACTTGATACAAAGGAACTGTAAGAGGTGATAATGTATATGACAACAGTAAAATGAAGGCTCAGTCTACTCTTACTGAGCAATACCCATGGATCAGAGTCAGGAGAAGCCATTTACCCAAACTCCATCAGCTTCTTTTTAAACTGCATTTAAAAATGTCTTCATTAAACAACCAAAACACAAGAATGTAAGAAATAAAACTGCAGTGGATCACAACAAAGCCCTGTGCTGTGTTTCTGGGAACAGCACTTGGGGCAAACACATAACCCTATTGCTTCCTGCAGTATCTTCCCCTCATATTTCTCCAGGATCCATAATTATTGCACTTGAGAATATCAGGGAATATCACTAGGGAATTAAACCTGATAGGAGAAGAAACACTTCAATTTAGCCACCAATGTATCTATGTTTATTAACTAATTTTGAATACCACCCGTTTCTTATATCACACAATTTGGTGAACATTTGCACATTCAGCTTATTCAGTATTTTTCTGGTTTTGTAAACTTTGATTGCATATATGCCTCAGCCTCCTCTTCTTCAAACTGAAGCAACCCTGACTTCTTAATTTTTCCTTCTTAAGGCAGCTACTCCATCTCCTGTTGCATGAATCCCCTTCTATGTATCATATCTAATTCATTAATATAATAATTCTAATTCTTTCCAGAAATGCAGACACTTAAACTTCACCCAAYATTCCAAAAATGGGCAACTAAGATTTTGTATGGTGACAAAACATCATCTCTGTCTTATTCACAATACCCTTTCAGGTAATGTGGTGATGATGGCATATTATTGGCTTTTTTTGAAAATTGYTTGCACTGAGCCAGTGACTTCAGAGAATTGCCAGTGATGACTCCAGGACTTTTTTTCCTGCATTGTGACTCAGCTCAATAGTTTGTGAAGAAGGTTTAGAATAATTTTACCTAGATATTTTGAAGTATTTAGAGCTCTTCTACTTATGCCCACTCTGTTTTGTGAGTTCTTTTCAAATTCCTTTCCTTTGGCCACCCATAAGGAATTAGCATTGCCCATGACCTTCTGTTCACTAAGTTCTTCAGGTCATGAAGGAATTTGTTGACCAGAACTGCTCCCAGCAAGAATCCCTGAGGAACATGACTGCTGACTGTGCCATTCAAAAAATAGTGAGCATTACAGCCTATGTGGCTCTCAACAATGAAATGAAAGGAAACAGAGAAGAGACATCTCATATTTGCAAAAATCTCRAAAACAATTTTMATTTATTCCTGTTRWGTTRWGTTKWKTKTRYYRTSMCARSRMAARSA